CTCTAAAAACAGCCGTGTGTTAAGTACGATGGGCTAAGTGGAGGGAAGCGGAAGGCTCATTTTGCTCGGTTTAAAATGAATTTTATTTATTTATTTTTATTTAATTTAAAGTATACCTTTACAAATTTTATTTTTTTGGTTTAATTTAAAGTATACCTTTTAAAAATAACTATTTTAATATATTGGGAAAAGGTATGATTTTGAGATAAGCAATATTTTATCATATAAAAAGATACGTTAATAACATTTTTTTAATAAAAAATAATTATAGGCCTATTTAGGTCCCTCTCCCAACACAGGAATAAATTGAATCCGATCTAACTTTTTAAAATATTAGACGGACCCGAGTCGCATGTTTACATATGATAACTGACCTGGCCAAAAGTAGTTATGATGTATCAGTAAATAATTGTTTTATATTAATTCTCGTACATATAGATAAGTAATTACTACAATTTGTATACACATATAGACAAATGTCTCAAGTTTCTATATATAAAAAAGCTTACGGTGTTTAAATGATCAATTATAATGTTGCAACACGTCACAATTCAATAAAGTACGTGCTTATACATTTGGCCGTTGAAAAGCGTTTAAAACAAGAGTTAACCAATAGGAAAGTGTCTTAACTCAAATCCGAGCTAATCAATAGGCTATTAACGTATCTTACGATCGTCCCGGACACTAGACTGAAACGGATGTGAGCAAAGACACATACCAATAATAATTTTTTTATAAAAGAAAATTACATGGTTGAGTGTACGGATATGACAGTTTGTTTTTAGCAGAGGCAAGGGGTATTTTGGTCATTTCGTTATCCTATCTATACTTTTATTTTTTATTATTTATTATTTATTTTTACCGCACATCTTCGATTAATTAAAAAAAAAAAAAAATGATAATTAGACGAAGCAATGAAACTCGACCCGGATCTCTCATTACGAGAGAGATAAAACCGACCGTATACAGGTTGGAGGCGAAGAAGAGGAAGAAGAAGAACAAGAAGAAAAAAACCAGAGACAAAAATGGAGGTTCAAAATTGACAGTCCGATTCGAAAGGAGGTGGTAGCCGTCGCTCTGAGCAGATCAATCCATTTTTTCTCTCAGCAATCTGCCATCTTCTGCAATTTTTTTTTAAATTTTTTTTGCCTTCTTATTTTTAGTCTCATTTCGGTTCGAAGATTTTTCCTCTTTCATCCATGCGGCGAGGCAGGCCCTCAGATCCATTTACAGCGACAGAAGTGCCGAAATCTACCGTTCAGCGCGAGAATCCTCTCAAAGAGATCCGATACCGAGGCGTTCGGAAGCGTCCTTGGGGAAGATACGCCGCGGAGATCAGAGATCCCTGGAAGAAAACTAGGGTTTGGCTCGGTACCTTTGATTCTGCTGAAGAGGCTGCTCGTGCTTACGATACTGCTGCTCGGTCCCTCCGTGGAGCCAAGGCCAAAACTAACTTTCCTTTACATCCATCGACGATTTCGATTCAGCAACCTATTCCGTTTTATCAATCGCCGCCGGATTTGATCGATTCGAACGGTTTTGGCAAGATTGAGTGTGTCCAGGCTAATAGGCCTACGTCGAGCAGCTTGAGTTCCACTGTTGAGTCGTTTAGTGGGCCGCGGATTTCTAACCCTTTGTCGTCGTTGTCGATGGTTCCCCGGAGGCCGGTGCAGCCTGTTTCGCCCGACGACTGCCACAGCGACTGTGATTCCTCCTCCTCGGTTGTTGATGATGATGAGGTCTGTGTTCTCGCTTCTTTCCGTAGAGCCTTGCCGTTCGATCTTAACTTACCACCTCCCATGGACGTCGTGGATTTAACTGGTGATGATCTTCAAGCTACTGCTTTATGCCTCTGATGATGCTGTTCTTGCTCCATATCATCGTGGGTTTTACAATGATCCTCTCTCATTTTCCACATTTCTTCTGTTTTTTCTATCTTATTTTCTTGGGAAAAAACACTAAACTGAAAAAAAAAATTCAAATATGGTGGTAAGTTGAAGAGAATTTGCTCGCTCCCTCCCTCTCCCTCCTGTCTATCGACTCTTACTTTGTTAGACTTTTAGACTGGGTTCCCTTTGACGGCCATGGCCGATATAATCTTGTCTGTGTTTCATTGAAGCTTTTTAGCATCGTTTAAGCTATGCTATGCTGTGCTGTGTATCTGATCTGGGATTTTCCTTTCTTGATCCGATTCACATCATCAATCCATACTCTTCTGTACAAAGATTACCCATCTAATTTAAAGAATCTGCAGTGGTCTTATTGCCATTCTCTTTGCTTAATCATCTATCTCTAGTTATTATGTTCATATCTATTTGACTTGCATTCTTCTCTGTGTGGTGATGGTGATTTGATGTGAAAATTTGTTGGGAAAGGCACTGATATGGGCATGTTCTTCATGATTTTTACTTCTAAGAGGATAGAAAATTGAGTGTTTAGGCTTTGGGGCTTGGTTCGAAAGGGGGGGGCTGATGAAGGTGGCCATTCATTGATTTCTCTGATAGGGTTCTTGATAAGAAACATTTATTGCACATGTGATGCTGCCTGCTGATTCTTCTTGCCATACCATTTCTGATTCTGATTCTGATCTCAACGTGCCCTAAAGCCAATAGAGAGGCAGGCACCCTTCCCAAGTTCTTCCCCCCTTTAGTAGGCCTTCACCAATTGCATCACTTTTCTCAGTCTTTCCTTCCCAATGCCATGTGCTTGCACCCCTCACATTGGCAAAACCCAAATCAGTAAAACTTGAAAAAAGGAACCCAAAACTGACTCGAAGGGTTTTTCCCAATTTCCCCCAAGTGTGTTTTAACATGTTTTGTTTGCATCTACAACAAGCTAATAAGCCAAGCCAAGCCAAGCCAAGCCACACACCCTCCTTATTATGATCATCATGGTGAGGCCGCCTGACCCTTGATATTAACTTCTAGCTATCATCCTTTTCTTTTTCCCTTTCCTTTGAAGCTCTGTTTATATTGCTAAGTTATAATTTTCGTAATCTTTTCTTTTCTTCGACGTTACTCGAACATGATATGGTGTTCTTGAATTTATCTTGCAATTGTGTGTCTTGCTTGAATCGGATAGCACGTGTCGTTAAGATATTGTTATATGCATGCACTAAACCTTATATTATGCTAAGATGTAGAGATTGAAAATGTGATTTAAAAAGAAAAATGGAGTGGAGTGAAAAATTGAACAAAATATTTGAGATTGATTTGAAAGGAAGGCCCAGCCAATAAGTATGATACAGGTGTTATAATTTTGTTCACTTTTCCTTCATTTTTACTCTCAAACATCTTGGGCCATGCAATTATGATACAGACTTCCAACCATAACATATGGGAAATTTAGGCTATATTTTGGTTTGCTTTCTTTATTCCTTTTGGTTCCTTGCTTTTAGATCTTCCAATTTTAACTCTAATGTTCCAACTTCAAATTGATTAATCTTAAAATATACGTTACTCATAGGTGTCTAAGCGTGTTGTTTGTGGTCGGGTGTTAGATGTCATAGGTGTCAAGACGTAATGTCATGGTCATACTTGTCTAAGACGTGTTGCCTGTGGTAACGTGCTAGATGTCACGGTCATACTTGTGTAAGGCGTACTGCCTATGACTGTATGTCTATTCCAAATCTCTTGTACTTACTTTCATGTTAGACAAATCTTTATCATTTTTGTTAGGTCAATACAAGAGTGCATATACTATTCACCAAAATCATGCCTACAGCTGCCAATGCTAAGATGCTTCAAAATATATTACAGGAGACGTGGCTAGTCGTCAATTCTTCCTACCCTTATTAAAGTCGTGGTTGTTGCTTATTTGCTGGCTAGCAAGCCGATTTTCAAATGTTTTCTAATACTTTCTTTGACCCGATTTTCTAAAATATTTTATAAAAAATGGGGCTAAAGGTTTGAGTATATGTCGGCCACGTTAACGACGACTCGAAGTCTAGTTGGCTGAGTTACTCGCCGGCGTGGGTAGGGGTAGGGTGCATGGCCGCCGGTGATTTTTGTCTCTCTATCAACCAATCTGTTATTTGTTTTCAATGCTGACTGTTCGGTGGATATGGCCAAAATCGCACCATTCATCCTTCTACCTAACAATATTCTTTTCATTTAACACTTTTTCAATTCATTGTTCTTTTTATATTCTTCGAATTTTTGTTACTATTTAATTTTGATTTTTTTTTTTAATTTAAAGAAAATTCTATTTTGGTCTTCGTTCACAGGAGAATATCAATCGAAAAGTGTCTCTCGATAAATTCAAACTATTCAATGCACCTAGTATAGATTGAGTTGGATTCTTTTTTTTTTCTGTATGGGTCGGGAATTTTTTAAAAACTAAAAATTTGGTTCTGTTCGTGAATTGTAACTTTTTTGGCCGGGTCATCCCGACCAACTCGAAATTAGGATTTACAACCCAACTTTTGTACCGGTAGTACTATACAAGCTCAGAGAGAATAATATCTTTCTTCGTTCTGCCTTTCTTTCCCATCGACTAGGAACAGACAAATAACAATTTTCACTTCGAATTCCGGACCTCAACATCCTGCTGCTCATGGTGTTTCACGATCAGTATTGAAAATGAACGGAGAAGTGGTGGAATGTGCGGAACCACATATTGGATTACTCCAGTGCAGCACGAAGCCGCTGACGCCGAGTCGGCTCCTATGCTGCTAACTATGACCTACTTAGTCCCCTGACACGGTGGAGGTTTCCTAGTGCGTCATGAGCACCAGACTAAGGGGCGGTTGAGCTAGTCAAGCAATCCAAAATTTCAAATAACGATTATTGAAAGGATAAAATAATGTGAAATTTTTGCTTATATTTTAGGTACATAATTTAACAATCCATTTAATTTAATTGCAAGGACAGAAATTCTAATATTTTAGAGAATCGGGTAAGTCTTGTAAATAATTTTCGAAAATGGTGTAAGGTGTAAATACCCTAATCTTTAAACTTCGTTTAATGGGCTAAGTTGCTAATTGGCCCAAAATTTTGTCGGGATTCAACTTTTGGCGGGCCGATCATCCTCGAAGGGGAATTGGATTCTTGAAGGGAAACAAAGGCAGGAGGATCGTGGTCTTCTCGAATTCTTTAGCGGAAATCGTCGGATTTCAGAGTATTCAATCCCGAAATCTGAACCACGAACTGCTTAGAATGCACCATGCAGAGATTAAAGGCCTCGGGAACTTCGATTATACGCTCGATTGCAGTTCCTAGGTTGAAGAGGAAGGCCGTGAATTCATTGACGGCCGTACAGGATACTTTCTATTCTACCAAGGTGATTGAATTTTCGGATGCTGAGTTTGTTAATGTTTGAAGATTATTGAAACTCGATGTTCTGATTGCTTATGGGGATTTTTTATTCAATTTTTTTCTCAAGGATGTAATCAACCCCTTTGTTCTTCTCCATTGTTTACATTGTGGTTCTGGTCTTGCGTGTTTTTAGGATGTATTCGAAAGGCATAGGGTGGTTTTTACAGTGGGGACTTCTATTGCATCTGTTGCAACTGCCTGGTTCGGTGAGTTCAGTGATTTGAATTTTCATTCCCCTTATTGTTTTTCCGTTGAATTCTGCATTTGATTATCCTTGGTACTGTTAAAGAATCAATAGGCTTAAGAGGCCAAACGTTAGATTACGATGAATTTGATCTTTTTTTGTTGATTATTTGTTTAGATATGATATTGTAGCTTTACTCCCTATATAAGAAGAAAGCCTATCTCTAATAGAAGCCGTAATGGATACACGTTGAATTTTTTTTGTCAAGCAAAGCCTTCAATTAACATCCGAACTAAATGAATGAGAAGGGATTGGTATCTTTAAATTGAAGATACCTTCTTATGAATTATAAAACATTATGACAATCTATTTGGTTTTGTGTTTTGGATTCAATGAATTGTGTGTTGATTGTATGCTTTAGAGGTTAGCAGAAGTTAAGGTTGCATTGATTCTGCTGCAGGTTACACTTTACGCCACTATCATGATGTTCAAGTTGACAAAAGGCTTGAATCTATTGAGGAAGCTGTAAGCATTATCGTGTGAATCTGTTAATTTATTTGAATGTAGTCCAACCATAATTGCATAGCCATTGTGTTCTCTTTTGTTTCACGTTAATGGCTACTTGGCACAACCGTGCAAGCACTTTCTTCATACATTTTTTCCCGAGTGTATGCATGGTTAGGGTTTGTTTTAGGCACTATAAATTTGAGAGAGATTCATGCCCTATCAAACATACAAGTAGTACACTAAAGGAATTTGTGCACTGCCACTTCTGAGCCCGTTATTTCATTTGCGCATGAATGCACTAGTTACGCCATCTCCCCTACACGAATAATGGTTAGATTCATATTTATGTTTCTGTTTCGTGGCAGATGAGAAAAAAGCATCAACTTGAGCATTCGGAAGTTGCAAAGGCTGTTAATGTTGGAAAGATCAGTACTCCTGCTTGCTTTGCAACTGCTGGAACTTCTTTGATCATTGGGTCTGGTTCTGCGTTCTAATCCCTTTTTATGATGCAATTGTTTTCATTATCATATGGACTTTAAACTCTTAGGGACATATAGTTTCATTCCTTGAGGTGGATTAAGTGCAGAAAAATAGTCTATCCTCCTCCTTGTCATGAGATGATCACTGGTAGTTGTTACTTGACTCTTTTGTGATAATTAGGGCCACTTAGGCCTCTTTCATTAGCCCTGATAAATCAACAACTAATGTAACCGTCTCTTTAAGTATTTTGTATAATAGCTCAAGCTCACCACTAGCAGATATTGTCTACTTTGGCTCGTTACGTATCGTTGTCAACCTCACGGTTTTAAAACACGTCTGTTAGGGAGAGGTTTTCATACCCTTACAAGGAATGTTTTGTTTTCCTCTCCAACCGATATGGGATCTCACCTTTTGTGACTTAAGAAACTTGTGATTCATTCCATAAACCTTTCGTTCCCTTCCTCTAATAGGTTGAAAGACACCAAGTTTTCTATCTTCAGTATTTCGTAGCTGAATCATTGAATTTTGCACTTCAATACACTACTATCTGAACTTTTTTTTGTCCATTCTCCATTCGCTAATGTAATCATTACCCAATGTGGACTGTGCAGATATTGCTTGGGATGGCGAGGTGGGAAACGTTACGCCAACAAGCAATTTAGACGAGAGCAGATGAAGTTATTGGGGGAGGCAAAACCTAGATGGCAATTGCTCACGAGGCTAAATCCTAAAGGGCTGAACTTTCCATTCAGGAGATCATCAGGCAAAGCTGGGAAGCAAGAAAGCAGCAGCAGCAGCCAAACAAGGAACAAAACTCCAAAAGATGGTGCAGCACAAGAACGAGAGGAGACAGCCACCAGTTCCAAGCAAGCAATAGCATCATGAGGAAACGGCGCAATGTCTCTTGAACTTTCATTTTTGTCGTCACCATAACCAGGCAGGTAAGTGTTTACCGGTAAGGCCTCATTCTTCTTTTGTCAAGTAAAAAAATGGAAAGAAAATGTGAGTTCTCTCTTCCAATACAACACATCTTAGTTTGGAAACTTGTTATAAGTTTTCAATTCTGTTTTCTAAATTGTTTCGATTGGACAACTTGTAAAGTTACATACACATTGAAATCATTAGTCCCAATTTTGAGATTTTGGAACTAACAGATGGCACGAGTGCCAAATTTCTGTATTGGATTTGTCCTGAACAAGTTAGTTATCTTTGTTTCAAGCAAGCAACAACCATAGGGATGTAACTTTCTTTTTTACTGTTATTTTGAGGGAATGGTGAAAAAAATTTCATCTTCAACGACCAAAGTCAACCCAAATTATTTTATGAGGACAAAATTTTATAGTTTAAAATTCTATAAATTAAATTTTTAGTTCGTATCAAAATTTGTAAATTAGTTAATTAATTGGTGTTAATTAACATTGTTTTGGATTTTTTTTTTCTTACTATTAATTCTCTCAAATAATTATTTTTTAAAAAAATTATATACTTTATTTGATATAACGTGAATAAAATTGAGATATTCTATAAATAAATAAAAAAATAAAAATTATCTTGGGTTTGGCCTTTTCTTATTAAAATACTCGGAATTCTGTCGTTAAGAGCAATCTCCAAGCATCAAAGAAATTATGATAAAACCACGAATGGAGGCATTAATGGTGATGAACTATGATTGGCATTGATTATTACAATAAATACCAAATTCAATGGATAATATCAAATTTTCATCTTATTGAAGTCGACCTGCTGCTGAAATTGGCATTCGAAGCAGCCTAGGAACTTTCTTGTTCGATTGTGGAATCTTGTCGCCGATGAACACTAAGGCTTTTCCCTTGAGCGAAATGTTAATTTGACAATGGAACGACTTGTCGGCCCCACTAGATGCCCTCGATCAATGGCTTCTGATGGGCGGAAGCGGATAGCAATTCTTGTGATTGCTCAATTCCTGTTTGTTTCTGCTCCTATTCAGCGTCGATATAAAATTCCTAAACTCCTGTGTTACACCATGAATCAAAATGAACTCGCCCGATCCCTTCAATCCGATTGTTCTTTTACTTCTGCTTTGTGGATTCATAATAGTTTCTGCATTGGAACCTGGCTCAGTCGATGGTATCTGTAAATCGTTAGTGGAGCCTCACAACTACGCTTGCGAAGAACATCTAGTAATATAGCGACTTCTTCTTCTTCTTCTTCTTCTTCTTCTTGTTCTTCTTCTTGTTCTTCTTCTTCTTCTTCTTCTTTTATGGAAATACCTAATTGATTCACAGAATGATCTTCCATTTGGGGTTTTCAGGTGATTACAAACGATGGGTTTATACTCAGCATGCAGAGAATCCCATCGGGAGGACGGACGAGTTCAGCCAATGGGCCTCCAGTTCTGCTACAACATGGTCTTCTAATGGTTGGTAATTTTGATTTTGGTGCCGTAATTTCTTGTGAAAGGATGATGTGTTTATGGATTGGTTTTACGAACTTTTTGTGATGGGAAGGATGCGGCAACATGGCTGTTGCTTCCTCCAGAAAGTTCTTTGGCATTCGTTTTGGCAGATAAAGGATTTGATGTGTGGCTTGCCAACACCCGTGGAACTAAATTTAGCCAAGGACATACCTCACTAGGCCCTGATGATCCTGTAATTGCTTGTTTCTCTTGCTTCCATTTTGATTTGCTTGCTGCTGAAATTGATATTGAGTTGTTCTTTAGGGCTTCTGGGATTGGTCATGGGATGAATTGGTAGCTTTTGATCTCCCTGCCACTCTCCAATATGTTCATAATCGTACTGGGCAGAATATGCACTATGTTGGACACTCATTGGTTAGTTTAAGCATTGCATTTTCTTTGCATCTTCGTGTTAGAGTATGTTTATCTGTGTCTGAGATGGAGAAGTTCTTGAATTGAAGGGAACATTGATTGCTCTTGCTGCATTTTCCAAACACCAATTGCTTGACATGTTGATATCAGCTGCTTTGATTAGCCCAATTGCCCATTTGGGTGATGTAACCTCCCCAATTGCGAGAAACGCTGCTGATAACTTTCTCGGTGAGGTACAATATTCTATCCTCTGTATATTCGTATTACTGTCGAGTTATGTCGTGTTGCCGATTCGTTTTATCCGTCGTAACAGGTCTTGTTCTGGTTGGGTGTCAAAGAGTTTGATCCAAGAGGGTAACTATTTGACCATTTCTCTTTTGTTAAAGGAAACTATTAGATTAGTGAAACTAGTTCATTTAGTTCTGTACTTACTTTGAATGAACAAATAGGAAGGCTGCAGTTCAGCTTCTTGTTGAAGTCTGTGCAAAGCCAGGAGTTGATTGTATCAACTTGTTGACATCTTTCACAGGTTCGAACGCTGTTTTAGTTCATTGTTTTATTTTCCAACCGAGCTCGTAGAGAGAATTATCGCTATTTTGTTTCGATTATAGGCCAGAATTGCTGTCTCAATCCATCTGTATCTCAAAACTTTCTAATCCATGAGCCTCAGCCAACGGCAACAAAGAACATGATCCATTTGTCTCAGAGTAAGGATCAAGGCTCTTCTGAGTATATTTGAATCTTTGTTGTTGTTTTGTGCGGTCTAAATATTATTTTGGGGATTATGGGCAGTGATCAGAAGTGGAACCATAGCAATGTACGACTACGTTGACGTGATCGAAAACATTAAACACTATGGGCAATCGACTCCTCCAACGTACAATATGACAAGCATTCCTAATGACTTCCCTCTCTTTCTTAGCTATGGAGGTGCTGATGCCTTGTCCGATGTCAACGATGTGCAACTCTTGTTGGATAACTTCAAAGATCACGACGGAGATAAGCTCGTCGTTCAGTTTAGAGAAGATTATGCTCATGCTGATTTTGTCATGGGAGAAAACGCTAAGCAAGTTGTGTATGATCCTCTTATCGCTTTCTTTATGCTTCAATGAATATGTTCATGTTGTGTGAATATCATGTCTATACTCGAATATATCTAAGTGCACTTAGTCGTTGGTGTCGATTGACTTGTAGAACGATGACTAGTAGGAAATATTGCATCGGTCGACAGAGGTTATGGGTCGGCTTTAGATTGTAACTTGTTATGTAAGTATAGAAAGAATGATTTTTGCTGTTAGTGTTGGCTTTATTGAATGATAGTCAAGGAATACCAGAGGCCTTTTACAGCTCTCTCACACAGATAAACCGACAACGAATGTCGTTTCCCTCATTATCATTCGGCACGAGCAAAGAAAATAGAAGGGATTGACCAAAATGACGATGTTTAAACGAGATATCTCTTAAACCAGGTATTATATCATAGAAAATTGTGAGTTGAAACAAAACCGACCGTTCTCTCTCAAAGATAGACGTTTGGCCTGAGACTGAAGTGACCCTGTGCTGCAAGACGAGCTGCTACGAAAGGATTGTGATCGACATCGTTGCTAACAGAACCGTAACACTTTTTCCTCTTTGATGACAGGAAAAGCTCTTCACAGAAAACAGCACACCGACGCGAAGATGAAGCCGGAGTCTCCTGTTTGCGCTTCGTACCGTTTGAGGACACCAGCATTTTCTTCAGCTTCCTGAAACATTTGACGAGCTTCTTCATCCTCACCGAGCTGGTTGGTTGGCTTGTCGGGTTGTATCTCTTATATATTCCATGGAGCTCTGTAGTGTGCTTTAATGTATGGTTCTAATTAGTGTTACTTCATTGCAAGAAGGATAAAGCACCTAATGTGTTTGCCCTTTTGTTGCTTTAGAACCTCAAGAGCTTGTGTTGTATGGAACTTAGAGAGTACTTTATAAAACTTATGATTTAAGTTTTGGATTGCTTGAGCTTATTAAAGTTCAAAATTATTCAATTTGATAAGTGATTTGAATACAAAAGAAACCAAACTCCACATTGATTGGTTGGAGAGCGGAACGAAGCATTCCTTGTAAGGGTGTAGAAACTTCTCATTACCAAACATGTTTTAAAACCGTGAGACTCGTGGCAATACATAACATACTGGAGTAGACAACATCTGCTTGCGGTGAGCTGTTACAAATATAACACAATTTCACTGGAAAAAAAAAATTATGATATAGGCTGGTGATCTCGGGAGATAAGACTCGTATTATTATCTTAAATGTATCGTTGGTGTTTATTGTTCATCTTGCAAACATTTAGTAGTAAATCGTGTATAACATTAGTGTAGTCCGACTCATTAAACGTGTATTTAGTAATAAATCAAGTAAATCAAGTAACTATTCTTGTAACATTCCTGTAGTTGGTTGAACTTATATTTCAAAAATATTTTTATATGTTAAAATGATTTATTAATATCTTTCAACTATTTTAAAATTAAAAAAAAATACATGAAATTTTAAAAACATTATTAATATAATTTATATTTATAAAAAAAATATTAAATATTTTTGTTATCCATTACAAATCTCTATTTAAATGACTTTGATATATTTTTTTAAAAAATAAAATAAAATTAAAATCTAGAAGATTGAAATATTATTTTTAAAATTTTAATAATAATAGAAATTAAATGAAAATCTTAACTACTAATTTTCTATTTTCGTTGAAGAAGTTATAAAATTAATAAATTATTACCATTAAAAATAAAAAAGAAAATCAGTAAATTGGAAAAAAAGAGAGAGAAATTAACTGGGCCGGGTGATGCAAATGCAACCAAGAACAACCTATCAAACCATTCCACGTAATTAAAAATTTGCAGCCTGAAAATTTTCGAAACTTCAATGCTGACGTGTAGGTCTCTCATTGGCTGTCACACGTAACACTGCAAAGCCAGACAAAAAAAAAAAAAAAAAAAAAAAAAAAAAAAAAAAAAAAAAAAAAAAAAAA